AATGCAAGTGGTCGACCAAGGGGGATTCCAAGAGCCTCAGCAAGCCTGATGAAGGCTAGGGGGTGGCTCCTGGTGACTTCAATGTGCTTCAACCATGCTGTACAGCTGTGTGCTAACAGCTGCACCTGCTACCACCCCCCCCCCTCCATCATGGCAACCAGCACAGCTGGGCATGAGTTTTTGGAGGAAACTTTGAGGTTTTTAGCTAGGGAAACACCCCTTTGTTGAGACTGGAACGGTCAGGGTTTGTTCTGATCACATTTTTGTCAGGAAGAGCTTTGCCGCTGCCAGGGCTGATTTTCTGGAGTAAACCTCTCCCCTGGTAGAAGGCCACAGTGGCAGCGATACATGCCACCTGAGCTTCGCTTGTCAGCTTTCCCCTCTTTCTGCACCAAAAGCACCAAAAAACTCTGGCTTTTTTCCTAGTGCAGAAAGCAAGCAAACGCCAAAGCCTCTGTTTCTTGTTTCCTAGTCCACCATATCAATGAGTGGGCAGCTAAGTTCTCCTAAATTTGTTCTTGTTTACGGCTTCTTCCAAGGGGAGGTGCTCCTACAGTGCAAAAGTACATTCCAGTGACAGTGTTGCTCATCACCAATCCGTAACGAATGGCAGGAATTTTTCACTTGTCTGCTAGCTTTTCCTTTGGCTTGCATATATTTCTTAGATAACATTTACACATCTAGTTTCACTGATGGAGTAGTGTAAAAATGCATAAACACATGACATTTATCACAGTGTGATAAAATGAATTCTCATTTTAGCAAACATTGTCTCAGAGGCCAACTTTCAGGCTAGCGACAATCTTTTATGGTAGTCATAAACTCCAGCTTTTATAAACTGTTATGTTGACAAGCTCCTGCTTACTACAGCAGCAAGTATAACCAACACAAACCGCTACAGTCTGGAGTCCTTTGCAACACCCAGCATCAGTTGTTCACTGTACAATGTCAGCCAGTTACTCAATTAATGAGGCAGCAAATAGCCATATAAAATCATTAAAGTGCATTTCCAGACAGCTTGAGAGGTTCTGACTGCAAGCAGAAACGTTCAACTTGAGCGAGACCTCACCTGCAGAGAATGTGAGCTGGATCTGCTCCTCAATGATCTCCAAGGCAATGAAGTCGTGCTTCTCATTAAAACGTCCATTGTAGAGGAGGAGAGCGTTCCTCTCCCTGGTTGCAAACCTAGAACGCAGAGACGAGGGGTTAGCTCATGCTTAACGGCTTATGAATTAAAGACTGATGGTCAAGTCACCCAGAAGAAAGACAGCATTGTATTTAGCACAAAAGCAAGCCTTTGAATCTTTCTTCAGACAGAAAATTACAAAATTGAGGAGTCAGGAGTACTCTTTCACAATTGACAGAGGCAAACAAGATGCAAATTGCAGAAATCTACTCTACAGAGATCTGCTGTGGATGCTGACCCTCACAAGGAGTACAATTAGGCAGACGCATGATGCAACATGAGTCTCTGACACTTGCCAAACAGTAGCACTTACTACACTTTGCAAACAGTCTGAAAGCTAGAAAGCCTTTTCACATCAAAGGGGGGATACTCGCTGTCTGCTTGCTGTCTAAATGCTACAGGGTACAAGGAAAGTCATCAACTGATGGGGAGGCAAGGGGAAAAGAAAGATAAGAGTTACTTTAATAACGTCATGTGGACATCACAGTTCATCAATCAACAGGTCAGCCAAGTAGAGGAAGGAAAATAAACACCTAAACGATTCCACTAAATCATCGCCAATGGATGGGGTTTTTTGTTTTATTTTTCTTGTGCTTCTAATATGGGATGTATCACACCTTTCCTGCAGAAAAACAGGCGACCCCACTTTTAAAAAAGCACGGGCTCTTCGTCAGCATAGAACTTCTTTTGCGAATTTCTGCATGTTGTGTGGATTTTATAATTTTTAATTGAATCCTGTTATCTTTGGGGATTTACACAGAGCTTTCATCTACTTAGAAATAAAAAAAAATTATTACACTTTACATAAACATTTTTACAAAGATTAATATTATGTAAAGAGAGAAAGAGAAAGAAACCATGGGAATTTCTTGTGTTTCCAAATGGCAGTGTACTTTGATTTTGTATCTTGAACTTCAGGAAATATGCCTAATTTAAATTAACCCACTTTTCCTACAAATTAATCAAATGCTGAACACAGCTAATGAAAACTGCCTTCCACAGATAGAAGAAATGATTCTTGTTCCTGTCATGTCACATCTACTAGCAAGACTCTCACGAGATGCAACAAAACCTGCATTCAGAGAATGTGAAAGACGCAGTATTTTAGAACATCATGGTCTGGTATCTGGAATATAAAATTTCAAACCCTGTTTGTCAGACATATATATGTTGTGGATCATGCCAAGTAGAGACCTTTCAGAACCAGAAGCATGAATTTGAGCTACATGGAAATGGGAATTTTATCTTACAGATTTTTAAATATTTTCGAAGGAGAACGAATTGGTTCTGGTTCAAAAAAAAAGAAATCAAAATTTTGACATTTCCAATAAAATACAAACTCCAAAGAATGTATTTTATAGTTCATCAAAATATTGTATTACTGTTTTGATTACTTTTAATCAGTTTTGAAAGACAGCTTTATTTCTAAATTTATTTAATGTAATAAAAATAATATTATAGAAGTAAAAGGCAAACTAAATTAAGACAATACTGTTGAAATATTTCAATATTATCAAAATGTCAAAATTTAGTTCTCACTTTTCACTATCAAACATTTCATCCAAAGGAATAAGTTCCTGTAAAACATTTCCCAAGTCTGTATTCTTCCATGAACTGCTTCATCAATACATTTTGATCAGATCTGTCTAGAATATATATGAGCAACAGAAAATGAGTATAATATTAGTGATGTTTCTTTAGTGGGTAGAAAGACTTAGTTGGATTAGCCACAACAGCAACCTTAATTCTGTTTGCATATATTTTTCTGATATGGTTACAATTCTTTACTACAATTTTAATTATTAAACTATTATTTATTAAACTATTAAATAATTAAGCTACTTTTTATATTTCTTTACTCCGTGTGTGCTCAGTTCCATTCTTTGCCACTAGTCAAAAGCATCTTTTGTATCATACTAACAGTTAAAACACCACTGCTTTTGAACTTGTCCGGTTATCACCAGCTGGGGAAAAAAAATACTGTTTTTAAATAAAAGGGATATTTTTATCTCAGGACATATGAAACAAAAGACACTTTCTTAGAGAATTTTGAATAAATATTCAGAAAACCTCTCCACTGACAGTGTCTCTTGGAATGGAGGAGTAGCAAGTGTTGGAAGGAAGCAAGGAAAATGTTGGGAGCAGAAAGACATGCCTGGTCCATAACCTAAATACTTTTTTTAAAAAATCACATATTAGTTATGAGACTGGACAATGCAAACATCCTGCTTTTTGCCAGGAGTGGGTCATGAGTCACTTGAGGCTCAGGGAAGCTAGACACCCTGGGATTTTACAAATGCTGCCAAATCACAAAATATGTAATAGGAAATCATCATCTAGTCAAACTGCTAATTCTTGCTTATCATCACAAAATGTTCTCCACCTGCACTGAAGGATAATAAGAGCGAAAGGAGTAAATGTAAATAAAAATGAACTTCAGGTATGAAAAGCTAAATGTGTCGTTCTCCCAGACAGTGTGGGATGAAACCCATGACGGTCTAGACTTCCACTGAGTGGACTAGGCAGTGTTTTAGCTCATGACTAAATATACCATCTTGCTGTTAAAGATGGTGAAGAAACCCTGGTGCAAGCACTACCTCACTACAGTAGTTTGCTGTTTCTCAACAACTCCTACATTTGAGACACTTTAACTTGAAGCAACATACATATAAAAGATCTCTTCCTAAAAGCCTGAAAATTGACACCACGTGGCTGAGGGGACAAGCGAAGGGTAATACAGGTAATTTATGCTGGCAGCCAGCCCAGGCAGCTCCTTTGTTTGCACTCACTGTAGGTTTGACAAGTCCAACAGAGACTTTTGCTCCTCAATTTTTCCATATAGTTAGATCTGATGCTCTAAAACGATCTTGACTGGTGCAACTCTTCCTTGCCTCGGCTTGCGTGCAAACAGTGCTTGTACTTTCTGATTTAACCAAAATGTGAAGATTCCATAAAACTTCAGGCCTTGGGATTAAGGCAGATGAAGGATAAAATGGAAAGAAGCTGTCTGGTTCCTGACAGATATAAAACACCAGCTAACTGCTGGGTGCTGGATGGGATGCATGCCTGGTGGCGTCCCCCTGAGCACTTTCTCTAGTCAGATGAACAAACATGTCTGTCCTTGTGGCTGTTTTACCTATCAACAAATCCCTGGCCTTGCCCTTTGGGGTCGGGGCTAACACATTTGGTGCTATTTACTGACAGTCAACCGTGAGGGAGAACCAAAGTTCAATCCTGACTGCCTAAACCATGGGAAAGCTGCAAACCCACCCCCTCTCTGGAGAAGTGGTGTGTGTGCACCTGGAGCTGCGGCTCCACTGAGGGCAAGCCCTAAGCCTGACCCAAGAAGTCTTCTCCAGAGGAGGGTTTTTTCCCGCAGGATGTGTAAGCCAGGGGAGGAGAGCCCTGGGCCACGCAGTGTGGCTGCCCTTGCCTCCCCGAGTGCCCCCACGCGAAAAGTGATAGCCAGCCCAGGAAAAGACTGTCCAACGTTGGGATGACATGGCAGATGGGATGGGGATGAGGCTGGTTGTGCCTGGCAGCCAGGGTCGGACCAGATGCAGGAGCGGGGTGTGAAGGCCAGCAGTGAGGTGAGGAGCTGGGACAGTTGGAGCTGTCCCAGGCCCAAGGCTGGGAACCAAGAGAGAGCAAGGATCTGAGGAGGACCAGCCTGTGCTCAGCCATGGCCTGATGTGGCCAGGTCCTCTCACCGGCTGGGAAACAGGAGAGGGGAAGAGCACTCCCAAGCCAGCAGCATGAACTGGTCGGCTCTGCAGGTGGCCTGAAATTCAAGAGGCCACAGACCCAACTACAAAAAGTGGCAAACCCATCACCACCCTCGTGCCTCTCCGGCCGAGGGCTGCTGAGAGGCAGCCAGAGAGGCCCTGGTGTCCCCTCTCCCCGCACCATCGCTCTGCATTGCAGCAGTGGAAGGTCAGGAGTTAGCACCTCTGCGGCATCCTCAGCAGGGCAGACAATCAAACGCTCTCAAATAACACAAATGCGCCTCACTCGCAGGAGTCACTGTCAGAAATCCCCAAGTGGCCTCTACATATAGGTAATTCGGTGGGTGACAATATTTAACAAACACCCCCCAATCTCAAGTGGAGAAGCCACCAGCCACAGAGCCCTTCCCCAGTGGGACTTACATGAGGGAGACGGTGAAGTGGAAGCGCTGCCGCAGCCCCTTGAAGGTGATGAAGGACTGTGGTGGGAAGCTCCTGGTGGTCATCTCGCAGTACGGCCGCTCGTATTCGCCTGGGGGACACTCACACTTGAAGCCCCCAATCAGTAGGTTCACACAGGTTCCTCCATTCTTACACACCCCCGGAGCACAGCGGCCGGAGCGCGCATTCACCTCGCAGTACTCTCCTGCAAGGGGAGAAGCAGACGTCAGGGAAGGCGACACCTCAACCCAGCAGCAAGCTGTGACACTCAGCTACTCAAGCGTTTCTGCTAAAGGTTAAGCTGCTTCCAAATTTCTGCATCCGACCCACTCCACAATCGAGGCACGAGCCTACAGTTGCAGAGGGGTAAGGATGCTGCATCATCTTTCAAGCCTGAATTTTCAGGGGTGTGTGAGTTACGATTTGCTGAGCAATCCTCTTGCAAATAGCCAACAACGTTGGCCTCGGTTTTCAGATTCCTTGGCTGCTTCCAGACTTGGTGATAAATATAAAGCTGGTAACAGACAAATCTATATGGGAGGAGGCAGCATCACCGGTTAAAAACTTGCACATTTCCTGTCATCCAAAATATGTGTAAATTCTTCCAGGGTTTCACTACAGGTTGGAAATTGTATAAACAGATAAGCGTTTGCACCTTGCTTTGAGTGGAATTTGGCTTTGCTGCCCATGGCGGCAGCAGGGCATCGCTGAGCTCGCAACAACGCTCGCAAAATGTTTATAGAAAGAATAAGCAGGATGCTGATTATATACGTATTGCTTCCACCTTTTCCCATGCACGCATCCTGCAGGTGACAGTCATTTTCTGAACCCTTCAAAGATGGGCACAGTAACTCTCTGCAAAAGTCACAGATTCTGCATGCTGCTTGCTGAAGCTGTTTTCCACCAAATGCTTCATCTTTATTCAACTCCGAAGTCTTTATTAAGATGTGTTAAATGCAATACTAAAGAATGAGGTGTCTTGCTTTGTATGTACACCATAATTTTTCCTGCATTTGCCCAAAATCTGAGAGTGAATCACAATTTAAAAAATAATGCACAGAGGATATTCACTTAAAAAAATCTGCTGTGGTTTGGACAAAAGCAGCTGCTGAATTAATCATTGTACAGAAAGGTAAACCCTCTGTGTGAGTTAATTAGTTAACATTTATGTTTTGGCCTGTGTCTTCCTAAGATATAAAACATGTTCATATCCCACATGTAAAACTGTTCAGAGAAAATAAAGACGGAATATATAGTTGCATTTTAGCCAGTAACAATGTCTGACAAATAAAAGTAGAGCAAAACTACTCAACACAGCCAGCTGAAGGAATAAATTTCCAATATTTGCATGATTACTCGCTACCAGATTATACAATTACATTAATTCAAACACAGTTAAAACCGTGCAAATGCATTCCTGGAGGAAAGCAAAAGCAGCAGGAGCTGTGGGCAGTGACTCACAAACAAAGGCAAATTAAAACGGAAAGTTTTGCTCCAGTTGCTGCCCCCGCAGCCCTGCTCCCTCAGGTTCCCACACCAAAGCTGCCGGTGCTGGGCAGCAGGCTGCAGCCAGCAGTACTGCCACATCCAGACCTGGATCTGAACCTCTTTTCTATGCAGGGCTGTAAACAATGGTTTGCAGCTGGTTTAGCCAGTGCCCCAGGGGCAGTGATCTCTGAGACAAGGTGAGGTGGACAGCCTGACTGTTTTGGCTCTCCAGCTTTGCTGCGTTTCTTCTCTTGCATCAACACCACGTGCCTTTGAGGCAGGTGTGATGTATGCTGGCAAAATGCAGGTGCAAATACAAGTGTGCCATGATCATGCAGCCAGCCAAATGCATGCCCCATCCAGGTGGGCTCAGCTCCAGAGGATGGACGTCCAGTCCTGCTCTGTGCTCCCCAAGGCCAGCAGAGCCATCGTACAACTGCCTCTCAACGAATGCATTTGTGGGTATCTCCTGACAAACAATATACTGGGGTGTTTCAGTATATTTAAAAAGGACGTAACACAAGGCACAGGGGAGATGAACACAGCTCTCTACTATAATAATTCTCAGAGCTAACAAATTATGAAATAAATCTTTCCCATTGTTCAAGAGGGAGTGCAATCCAAAATCTCTGAAGTAAGAAACCACACAGCTGAGAATTCAACGTCAAGCCTGTGCTTAGAGCTCTTCTGATTCAGCACTCGTGTTCCTGTATTCTCACTTTAACATATTAAGATGAAATGCTGTGAAAACCACTTGATAAATATCTTCCCGCCTCCATTTATCGACTGTATCAGGCAAGAATATGTGACTACACCTTCCTTAATACTTTAAAATGCTGTACAATGTGTTTCTTTTGGGAGAAATTGTATATAACATCCAAGACAGAAAATTCCCTCAGTGTATTGGATATGCCAAACAAAGTGCAGACATATATCAGATGTTCTAAGAGGACACTACAGAAAGTAATTCTTTATGATCCGCTGCATAAGCACAGCCAATTCCCCTTAACACACACACATTTTTTGTACCAGAACTCTCAAAAAAAAGGAAAACCACAATTCTTATAGAAAGACTAAACACAGGTTTGTCCCTTTAAAAAAGCAGTAGGATATTTTGTGAAATAGCTCTTCAACTCAGAGAGGAATGTAATCTCCAAGGCTTTCTGAAAACAGAATGATATATTTGGCAAAAGCAAATAACGCACAGGCTTGAATACACAGGGAGAAAAAGGAATGAGCTAAAAGGAGAGATTCCTGGCACTGCAGCACGCTGTGGAAATGCCATGGCAATACGGAAGTGAAATATAAAAGCCTAAGCTGGAAGTCACTGATGGTTCTGTATTAATTCTGTGATATAACAAGAATGTATAGACCATCTGTTTAAACACCTATACAGGCATAAAACTATTTAAGAGAAAAGAAAGCTTACAGAAAAGTTCTGTTGAATTATGTTTATTACTGCTTTTCGTTATGATGCTTAAAGTAGGAATTTAAAGGAATGTCATTCAACTTTAAATAAGATCCTTTGTCCTATATTCATTCATTCAGCTGTAACATCACTGATGTCCCAGTTACTAAAATTATTCTGAATTCTCTTTAGTCTGTAATGTAAATGAGAACTGCATTTGATGCACATTCTTTGATGTTGAATTTTCATATTTTATGCATATTTACCAAAATGCATTAAAATAGTGGTTTTGAAATCTTTACAGTAAGTCCAAGGCATCATTGTTCTTCAAGGCACAAAGGTCTACCAAGAAACTTGGTAAATCCTTATTTACCCTTTTTTCCAAAAGTGCCTGGAATTACTTAGAAAGAGGGCATTTTGGGCTTTATGGAGTAGCCATCCGAGCAAGTATTCAAAGCAGGGCTTTGATCAGGATTGGCAATACAACAAACCTTGGTGTTGCTCTTGGGTTTGTCACTTCCAAGGGTGGCCACCTCATCCTGGACACATTGCTGTCCCACAGCACTGCCCTGTGGGAGCTTTGAGGCACGGCCTGAAAAGCATCCTCAAAATTTGAACCGAAGCCCGCATGGACTTGAAGGACAAGCTGGTTGCTGGCTGGAGCTGGAGTCAGAAGGCCCTAAGGGAAAAACTCCTTGAGGGGCTGAAAAGGAAGGGATCTGCATCCACCAGCCTTCGGGATGAAAAGTGCCTGTGTGTCTGCTTGCAGCGGAAGGTCGGAGGGCTGGGACGTGCTGTTGGAGGGGATGTCTTGCAGTCCAGTGGGAAAAAATAGTACAGAAGGAGGGATAGATGCTGTGCAGGGAGGGTCTGGAAGGGCTCGGGTGATAAGAGCACAGCCCAGATAGCTGCCGCACACAGCCTGGGGTCGGTCTGTGACACTGGTGATGCTGGCACGGTTCACCCTCTCACCCAGCCTGTGCAACTCCCCTTCGCTCCTCACGGCATTTCCTTGGCTAGAATAATTTCATTTTTCACACTGGCCAGCATTTTAGGAATCACTGAAAAAACTAGTTACATATCACAACTCTGTGAAATCCAAGCAGGAGATGTGAAGCTTAGTCCCTCCAGCTGCTAAATCTAAAGCATGCACTGTCAGATAAGACAGGCCAGGACTGCCTGTTATCTGCCGGCAGATTCCTGGGCTTTGAAAAAACCCTGGCCCAAGCCAGCAAGCAGTTTACTGTTACAGGACAGTAGCTGATCTTATAGGCTTTCAATTAATATTGATGACTTAAAGCTACGAGTCCTGTGGCTTTTACCCAGGCCTTTATGTAGTGCTTCCTGGTTTTAAAGCCCTTGAGACCACAACATGATAGTTGCTTTCGACACTGCTTCCTACTTGCAACCATTCTGTCTTTAACACGTCTTCTTCAATTTTAAGACTAACTTCATAAAGATGTTAATCATAAAATTTCTCTTTATGTGAGTGAGTATGCCATGATACCAGGTGTAACACAACAAGAACAAGCAAAGCAAAAGACTGGCTAGAAGATTTGGTCTTCCTCTGACATATTCCAAGTAATGTAAGCATTTAATGAATAAACATAAATTATGATTAAAACAAGTGAAGAGAAATAAAAATAAGCTACATGAAAAATGAAAAATAATCTCACAATTGAAATACCTTTGAGCCAAACATTATGGGTTTCAAACAGCACACTGGTGTGCATCAAGGTCTTTGCAGACATCTGCCTTGTGGTTCTGCTGTGGGTTGCCTGACCTTACAACAACAGACAATGTGTAACATTGGAAAGCTTGCTGGAAACAACATGACAGCATTGGAATAAATACAGAATTACTCTACATTTCAGTTTACTGCAATGTGTTTCCACAATATCCCTGTTTACGGACTAGTCCTCAAAAATCTGAACTATTCCCTGACTGTTTTCAACTTAAATACTACATTAAATATATATCTACATGAAGCAGCAGACCTGCACAAATGTTCGTTTCTTTTTTTCCAGTTTACCTAGACACATGTTAATTTTTCACTCAGTACCTGTAATTGTTTGACTTAAACTGATTCTTCTCTGCTTTCCTCCATCCTACCATTTGCTCTAGATACATATTAATCTTCTTCATCTTTGTAGTTTCTTCACCAGAATGGAAAGCATTTTGAGAGGCTGATTTAAGCAGCCAGCCTAAAATGATGTACTTTAAAGTGGAATAAAGAAACAAGAAATAGGGTGAAAGGTGAAACAAGAAATAGGGCAACTAAATCCTTCAGAGAATTCCCATTGACCCAT